GGGATGTTAAATTAGCTTCTGTGCCAGCATGAGGTAGACTGAGGATTTCCCAGCACATTCTCCACCTGCGCACCTCAAAGAACAGCTTTGACTAACTACCTCATTTGCTGTCTTTTTAAAGTACTTTTAAGAAGTATTTTATTTCTTTAACAGCCTTATCTGCATTGTTTTAATCTAGCCCATTATCACCTCTTGAGAATTTAATAAAGGAAATAATTTCTTAATATTAGCAGTGTTGGGCTTAAAGACAATATAATGAAAAGTGGGGTGGGAATTGAATGCTGAAATAGTTTTGTTCAGTACTGGAATCTTTTCAACCTTTTGTGATTTAATTCTTTCCTTTTAAATTTTAATCATCTTTCAGGATAGTAAAGTCAAAAAATCAATTAAGTTTTGTCAAAGGGATCCTCAAGTAGAGTAGAAAAGAGGAAGGCGGGGAGAGATGGGGTGTCAGGGAAATTATTGCAGAGGACTTCAGAAGTCAGCGAATTCTGATGCCCTGGGGTGCTCTCCTCCCCATGGGTGGAGGCTGCAACTGGCACATCCTTACCTTTCCCTTCTCTACTACTGAGAAAATGGGAGGCTGCACCTAGATTCTCAAACTGGAACTAATTGATTTTCAACTAATCTAAGCCTTTAGTTATAAAGAAAGTAGGACCAAAGGCAACTCCCAGGAAGGGTGGGAGCAATAAAGACAGCCAAGAAAGCCTGGGGCTCCAGAAACTACAAAACTAAACAGGGGAGAATTCAAAGTGTTGGGGTTGGGGCAGGGGGAGGAAAGAGTGTGTAATTATAGGCAGTGAGAGGGTGAGGAGGTAGCGGTGGTGTTTGGGGCCTGTCCAATTCCTTCTAGCTATATGTCCATTTCTTCTTAATTCCCAAGTTACTTCTCATTAGGCTTTTGAAACTATTTTGTAAGTGACCATTAAGATATAAATTTTTTTATTAAACTGTGTTTATAGTAACCTCCCTCCGGGAGCTGCCCCAGTCATTTGGCAATGAAATAGCTTTAAGAACCACAGTCTAGTTGTCTTGATTATAAATGAGAGTGATTATTGATGAAGAGGGAAAAGGTTTTCATCCTTAGGAATAATTTTTCTCTTCAAACAGAGGGGAAATTTTGTTAAAGAATGATTGTTGTTTTTGCCCAGGATCAGTATTTCTTATTTCAGACATAACCCATGGATATGTGCTACAATGTCTTTCAACCCAGGACTCATATTTTAAAAAATGTTTGCATGTGTTTATGGATGTGTTTATATTTCACCTGTTAATAATGCTGTTGGAGAGACTCCACGCCATAGGTAGCATCTTTACAGAGATCTATATACAAGTCCCTCTCCACTGAGCACGTGAGTTGGCCAAAAACAACAATAAATACCAATGGTGACTTGCAAAGCTGTCAGTTGAGGACATAAGCATTACCTTTTTTCCAATAACAGGGGAGTTTATTGATTCTAAGAAGGGATCCTTAATTTATGTTCCCTGTATTGCTCCTTCCATACTAACATGTTATAAATCATGAAAATGTTCAATGTTGCATCTATATACATTATACTTACACATTAATATATATTCTTAAAATGTATCTAAAAAGAGTTTGAAATCAATGCAGCAATGACCCAAAAACTACTAATAAACACAGATGTCAGTTTTTGCTTTCAGAAAAATATATGTAGGCAATGAATAACACAAGTTTCCCATTTTTTATGATTTGCTCTAAAATATTTAGTTTGTATCATTAATTAGATGAAACATTGTGATCTAATTTTTAAATAATTTTAGAACTATCCTACAGGCATATGTCCCAAGACAGGAATTGTACTTAAATATTAAAAGTGTATAATCTAATTGTGCATTTGTATAAGCACTTCATACACAAACCAAGTAAACATTAGGAAAAATAGACATAAAAAGTATAAAAAAAGAAAACTCACCAGGAAGATATTTTTGTTCCCCACAAAATTAGGTGGTATCAATTCAACAAAATTTTGGCTGATATTCAACAGTTCAAGGATAGCGGCTTCATCTGCAAAACTCTCTTACTGTAGCAGAAACTAAATTTGGCCTAACAAGTTGCTAAAAATAATTTAAAGGTAGAATAGCGAGTGAGCTTGGTTTATATTTAGAATCTTACATATCATAAGTCCTGTTACTTACATTTCATTTTCAACTTTTAGTAAATTAAAATATTTTTTCACTTACGAAAACAATACTAATTCACAAGAAAATTTTAAAATAAATATTGTGTTGGATATGATTCTGGATCTGGGTTAAGTTAAATTAGTTATGAGAAATGTTACAGATGCCATTCACATCCTGATACACCCAGGTGGCTTCCTCAGAACACGCCCCCTACTGCTACTAACTGGACTCATTTACACTTCGTTTCCACAACATAGGCATTTTTTTCAGATACCAAAAGAAAGGAATTTCTCTTGAGCTTTGTAACAGTGTGAAACACAGTGCAGGTAATATATGCTGGTGAGTTACACCAAAAGCACTAGGGATTTTTTGTTCACTTTATAATGATACTCTACACTTAGCTTTCTGAATATGTTTTGATTTGTTTTATGTGTAGAAGAAATATGGAAGTAAGCTACATACTAAGTAGTGATTGGCCATAAAGTTCGGTTATATTAGAAGGCATGTTTTAAGAGCAATAAAATTGTACCTCAATTTTATTTCAAGACAACTCCAAGAAATTCACCCAGGATCAGAAGTCATTTTCTAGTAATTTCTTATGAAATATTTATTTGGGGATTATTAATTTTAAAAAAAAGTATGGTTTGTTATTGAGGAAAACATTACTAATCACCTGTTTAAGCATGATCAAAATAAGGTTTCTGAAGTTTAAATCTAATATTATTCCCCTAGAATAAAATAAATAATTGTATGTGTTGATATGAGCATATAAACAGCTGTGCCATCACACTATGACCAACACAAGAAAAATACCATTAATTTAAAAGCAAAACTATTACTTAATGATAAAACAGGGTTCTAGCAATCATTGAATAAATTGTTTTCTGTTTGCTTTGTTTTTTATTTTATCTGTATTTATAAAAAGTAATGGCATACAACTTCAAAAATCTAATTTTTTCTAAAATAACAGTAGATACCTATTACAAATGATCAAAAGATACAGTTTAATGAAATATGTTAAGACAGATTCATGACTGAGCTATTATTGCTTAATCATAAATTCTCTTTTGTCATGTCTTAGCTGACCTAAGCAAATAACCAAAGTTGGTCTAATACTTTAGATTTGTTTCTCTAAAGTGAACAAATCACTAAAATAATTTAAACGTAAAAATTATGAGGTTTGCTTTGTATTTAGGTGTTTACACGGTCTAAATCCATGTAAGATGTCTACATCTAAATAGAGTGATTTCAGTGATTCACATTTAGTTATGCTGAGCAAAAGTTGTTCTGTAGATAGTAATGTGGATCCTTGAATAAAAAAGCTGAAAAGTAAAATGTTCTATGAAGAATATTTTCATTCCCCTTGTACTAAGAAGAAGCAATCAAACAAATTTAGAATTACATTCTATATGAAAACTCTGAGACCTGCTAATTATATGTACAAAAGAAAATGCCACCAGAAAGAGCTGCAGAGCACCTGACATGCCATAGGTGATAGCTTTCTAAGCTCAGTACTAAGAGCTTTGTCCCTGGTAACACAAAACATATGATTTAGTAAGCCCCTTATTCTTCATGCCAGGATTGCTAAGAGTAAATGACCACAGCATATTAAGAGACATACATTACCAACTTGGCCACACGTCACCAAGATTCGTTGCTATCTGACTTTTCAAAAAGTATTTCCTTTAAGATAATATACAAGGATATTTTTTACTAGGTGGAGAGTAAAATATTTTGAAATCAACCCAGATTGCATTTTAATCTAAAATTTTAAAAGGTATTACTTTATAGGGACCTTGATTCTTTAAAGTTTATTAAATTTGCTGGTTAAATTTTAAGTCTTAAAACTAAATTATATTTAATGTTACTTTCCTTTAAACATCTAAAGACAGTCAATTCCTCTTTAGTTTCTACCAAACTATTTTAAGTTAAAACAGCCCTTGTAAAACCATTTGAAGTAGGTGGGCTATGTAATATTCTTGTGAGAGGGAATACTAGACAGTGATCTGCCATTTGAGATTGTCAATATTTAAAAATTACCATGAAGCACCAGCACCAATTGAAGTATAATTTTAAAACCTATTCCTTAATAACCTTGTTGATAGTTATAGAAAGTTATCAATTTAATATTTTTATCTCAAAGGAGAATTTTGTATAGATAAATACCATCAAAACAAGTTTTATATTTATCTTTCCTGTGTCAAAAATCAACTAAGTCTGACTACATTTGAATCGTTACACTTAAGGAAGGAATGTTTCAGTTAGATCGAGACTTCTTTTCTAAACTATTTTTTCATTGAACTCCCTGACTGCTAACATTTTACAGCTTCATTTGATCTTGGTTAATTTCATTTAAAGATTTTTTTCAATAATTTCTTCCTCTAGATTAGATTTTTTTAAGCAGCATATGAATATGTATTCACATGCTCTTTAAATTACTAACAAAAAAAATTGGTTTGGAAAGTTACTTTTATTTTCCCATACATAATACTGGTTTCTTCATTCCTTTCTTTCTTTTTTCCTTTTTGCCCAAAGCATTGCTATCCTTATAAATTTCCCTTTTTATAATATTGCTTTTTATGCACATCTTTAAATTAAATTTTAACAAGCTCTCAAAGGACCAAATTCTACCCAAATTGTGACTGTTTAATTTTAGCTATCCATGTTAAATATATGTAACTCTGTAGCCTAAAGCAAAACCTTGTATCACTGTAAAAAATGAAACAGAAGTTATTGAGGGGAGTTTTATAAAATGATTATATAAACATGGCCACCTACCAAGAAGCTTCTTTACCATTAGAAAAAAAAAACCCACTTTATAGTAATACAGATGAACAAACAAACGAACAACATACCTAAATTGACAAAGCTCATGACCATGTCAGCATCGTTCAGAAAGTTGGTATCGTGTAGGCTGGCGAGAGGGGGGCTCTGGGTAGTGAGAGGAATCCTTGGAGATAACTGCACACGGTGAGCATACCCATTGGGAGAGGCTGGGTACCCCTTTCTTGCCTCCTTGGCCTCTCCTGCCAGGGATACCCTCACCAAGTATTCCGACTCTTCAGGATTCTCCTCGCTGGCCATGGCATTGTACAGATCCAGCATAAAGAGGGGTGCAGAAGATGCCTGTTTTCCAGGTGAGAACGGCCTGGGTCTGTGAGGCAAACCCAAAATAGAGAGAATTTCCCTCTGTATTTCCCGTCTTTCATGGTTCCGCAGTCTTCTATAAATAAAACTGGAGTGAACATGATTGTCTCCCAAACCTCCTTTTGCACAACCCACTTGAACCCAGACGCTCCAGAGGAAGCCCACAATACCCCTAAGTAAAAATACAGTCCAACGCATTTTTGTACAAAAAAGCAAAAGTCGGTATTTTTAATCCTTCTTGTCCACTTGAAAATAGAAATGATCCAGGTTCCTTGGAGGTACGCTCTTCCAGTAGCTGTAAAGTTGTAAAAACAAATTTACCTATTCTTCATGACAGTGATATTTCTGAACACATCAGCCTCACTCCATTTTCTTCTCCTGTTTTAAATATTTTAAAATACGTCAAGAGTAGTTATTTCTAAGAAAGCTGAAATTCAGATTTCAAATTATCCACAGTTGTTAAGAACTCTTGCAGTATTGATGTAGCAAAAGCTGGCTAAAATTATTTGATCAAATAACCTATGCATTCCTATGTGAATTTATGATAATCAGGCCTTTGGTATTTGAACTGACGAAAGCTGGTCTTCTGATAAACTGTAGCTCCCAAGTTCTCTTCACTGGCTCTGACTTCTTCTCACTGCTTGAACTCTTTCCAAGACAAATCCTGAGGTCAGAATCACAGATCTACGCTGATCTGCACCTTGCTGTTAGAATTATATTTGTCCGGCAGCCTAGTGATAACTTGAACATCTCTTGTATGGTCTCAGTGTAAAACAAGACCCAAGGTTATACTGTTCAAGTAAATGTGTTTCCCTGAGTTTACTTGAAATCCTTCCTGTAAATCCATTCAATCTTTTCTCCTTCTTACAGTTAATTCCACCTCCAGCAGGCACAAATATACCAGCCCTCTTCAAGAGAGATCTAAGGAGAAATGTAAGCACAACCCTGCTGGGAAAGAAGAGGCTTCTCATTGTAATTTGAAACTGGTAAAGCAAAAAGAAGTTAACCCTTTTGCTACCAGAAAAGCCTCCATTTTCACAATTTTAGAACCATGCATGTAACATATAACAGTAATATGTGGAGTGTACAAGTTCCAGGGAGGGGAAAAGCCAGTTTTCAAGTAGCAGACTGAAAACTTTGCCACCCTTCCATACAGAAGTGTTTTAGGTCTTTAGTGGAATGCATTTAATACACTTCGGAATTAAGTCTCAGGTTGTAGCAAGTTAACTTGGTATGTCTCCGTTCCATACTTGAGATTGTTTCAGCTCTTGAAAGTCATTACAATTTACTTCCTTAAAAACTGAAAGGACAAAATTTAAAATTGGAATAAATTTACTGATCCTTATTGGTGACCAGTTATTTTAAAGCAAAAAAGTAGATAATGAATCATTAACAAATATATTCTACTCCAAAAAAAAGAGCAGTTATAATAATTCTGGGATGGGAATTAGATAGGTCCTATTTAACTGTCTATAGAAAAGACTTAAGCAGAAATATATATTTATTTCTGATTAAATCAATGGTTGAAATAGAAATATCTAATATATAGTCTAACCATCCTTAACGTTTTCTTCATTACCACTGAAATGTAGGCATAGCTACAATGAGATATTTAGACGAAGTGTACTCAGTACTTCAAGTTGTGCAAATAAACACCAGTTGTGCTAAAGATCAAATGCCCTGCGTAACGACACAGATTAAAAGTGGAATTCCGGAACTTTGGTGGGTAGAATAGAGAAAGTGTGCACCTTTCTAGCATGCCATACCTAATCTGAGAAATGAGCAGAGTGTGTGTTTATCCTTAATGGTTAATGCCTTTAAAATTTGGAAGTCTGCAACATTTCTCTGCCTGCTATAATTTTCTTCTCAGGCACACATTTAACCTTAGCGTTTACAGAGCTTTCATTGTCTGGGACAGCATTCCGATAGCAAGGTAAATTTATCGAGTGAATTCTAGAACTGTGGTGAAATTTTAATGTTTTTTTTTTCTTTGCCTAGAGGTGTCTAGTTTCTTGTTTAATTTCTTTTAGCATATTCCCTCTGCATGAATAAAACAGTCTTATTTCGCATGGTCTTCAGCTCACTGGTAAATGCAAGACACTGACAGGGCTTCTGAATCTGACTACATACGTCATTTCTCTGGTACAGACTCACTAGGAAAACTTGACAGGGCAGCTGAATGTTTGCCTCACTGAAAGTTCTGCGTCATCACAGGACGCCACAGCAGTCATAGCAGCAGCCCATATGCTGACACACAGGCATTGTAAAAAAGAGACATCACGAGGAAGGGAAGCCATGCAGACTTGCAGTGACCAGATCCCATTATAATAAGCAGTAGTTTGAACTGCTAAAACTCCTGTGATTATTTGCTTTAGCATCCAAACCAAACAGCAAATTCTGGTCATCAGTACACATTCAGATCGATTACTCCTTTGTGCTTATAAAACATACTACAGATCAAGTAGGCTATGGTTTTCCTCTCAGTTTTAAAATACATTTCAAAGCTGTGAATTTGCTTTATGATTTTACAGAGTAAAGTCAGTTGCACTAAAAGAAGAACAATTCCTATGACATATGTTTTGATTTTTTTCCCTAAGATACATTTGAAAAATAAAAATAAAACTGGATGTCACAAGCCTCAAAATCTTTTCCTGAGCCATAATTTATAATACCAATCAGGATAATAATAATTTAATGGTTTACCCAGGCATACAGCCTTCCAAGTATTGGCATTAAGTTGTTAACAGGCTCGGTCAGATTTCAGTATCTACTCTATCCCTACCTCCCTTCCAATACAGACTAGGCTTAGCCCACATTCATTTTTCAAAAGATCAATAAGAGGAGAAAAATAAAACATAGTCTAAGACTAAACAGGAAGTGCTAGCTACTATATGAAAAGTTAGAATCATTTTCAACTGAAAGTAAATGTGTTTTTACCACATCTCCATACCAGAATAGATTTAGACCTAGGCGTTTGAGAGCAACTTGAAAGATAAAGTAGATTTTGTGCCTGCAAACTCGGAAGGATCCACATTTCTGAGTACATAGGATACAGGGGACTGGACGTGCTGTGTCGTCACACACCGGAAAGAGGTGAGATTAGGAGACAGACCTGGCTCATCACAAGAGTTATTCTTAACGATCACCAAGAGGCACTTCCACAAAAACCCACTCCCTCCCTCATGGCTTTGGAACAGCCAAGCAGCCTCTCCACAGGTCACTTCTTTGGAAGTTTCTTTTCCTGTGGAAATCTGATGCCTTTGTCTCTGGATCTGTGAAGCAATCATACCCAATTTACCAATCTCAGCTTTCCCAGTTTCTCAAAAGAAACTTATTCAATGGATAGGGGAAGCATTTGTAAATCTTTTCTGTTTTAGAACTTGCTTCTCATCTCTCTTGAGCTTGGGTTATTGTCGTTTTGATGTAGAAACCCAGTAGTATCTAGAAGGGGTAAAGTTGGCAGGTATCTATAAGACCATTTAAGTGACTGGTGGAACTGGCAGCAAAGAGAATTCTGGGAAGGCATCTACAAGAGTCCATAGTGTCCAGAGGAGGGCAGAGCGATGCTGCAAAACCACTCTTGGACAGGTTTTGGGTTGTTGGGAGTTTTGTTGTTGTTGTTGTTGTTGTTGTTGTTGTTGTTGTTGTTGGTTGGTTTTGTTTTGTTTGGGGGGTTGGGGGAGGGGGTTTCTTGAGAAAATAAAGCAACAATTAGCCACTGAAAAGTAGACATTCTTAGTGAAACATCAGTCTCATGATTCCATAACTACTAGATTCCAATTCTGTCAGTGTTAGACAATTGCTATGACTCAGAAAGAAAAAAAAAATGTGTAACTAGTTACATTCACATTCATAAAATCCTCTGCTCTATTATTACAGGGAAATTCTATTGAATTAAAGTTGCCCTTGATAGATGTGATTAATATCTGTTCCTGTCAGCAATTACCTCATTCTTTTGAGTAGCAATGACTTGTCTTATTTCTGTAGCAGTTAATCTTGTTGTCAATTTGACGGAATCTGGGATCAGCTAAGAGACACGATTCTCAGTGAGTCTGCAAGCTGTCTACTGGATCATGACCCGAAGGGGAAAACATTACCCAGAGAGAGCGCCCTTCGACTGGCACTCTAGCTATAAAGTCCTGTTTCCTATGCTTGACTTCCTTCCTTTGTGGTGCATGCATCTACTCTGCAGCAGTTTCTGCTGCTACTGCTGCCATCCTTTCTGACCATCACAACCCAGATTCTTTGGACTTTCCATGTGGATTGAAGACCAGCAGTTCTGCAGGAATCCTCAAGCCTTCTGTGCCATATGGAAACTGCTGAGGAATCCATATCATGGACTGAGTAGGTACTGGGTTGTCCATCTCACCAAAGCACAGGCTGTCATCACGTAACATCAGATAACCCACCTGTATCACATATCCATCTAATTAATACCCGTTCTACCAGCTTGGTTTCTCTAGCGAACTCTAATTAGTATAATGTGTTTGGCTTTGGCCCTCGTGCTGTTTTTATGGCCCATATTGCAATGCAAGAAACTCTAAAAATGATGACAGTATATTAATTAGATTTTAGCAATAATGAAAAGTGCAAAGTCTCAGCAAAATGGAGTTGCATAGAGGACCGACAGTCAATGTGGAGCATGGAGAAAAGCATTAAGCAAGGCATGTAAATGAGTGCCAGAGTTCAAGTTCTTAAACTCACACTGCTCACACTTTACACTCTTGCAGATGGTTGACTCTAACCGATATATTGGCCAATTCAAAATTTGTTAAGAGTGTGACATTTCAATGGGATGGCTGCCAATTTACCCCAATAATTCCCATTAACAAGATAACCCTCAGAAGAAAATAAAGTTCATAAATGTCACTACTGATTGTCAAAATGATACAATTTAGAGGGAATATCAAAATTACATAATGCAAAATTGCTTTAGCTACATGACTATAGCTTTTCACAGTATTTTTTGTTATAGTAAATTCAAAACATTTTGTTGTGGTCTGGAGAGATGGCTCAGTGGTTAAGAGCATATACTACTGTTGCAGAAGACCCAGGTTTGGTTCCCAACATCCATGTGGCAATTGGATCCAGCCAGAGGATTCCTTTTTCTGGCCTCTGTGGAGACCAGGCACACAAGTGCTGCACTTACCTACATGCAGGTGAAACATTCATACACATAAAAATGAACAAATCCTAAAAAGAACTTCATAGAATTTTCCTCAGAAGCATTAAGGATAAATTTAAAGCCTAAGAAAGTATCTTCAAATGTTACAGAAAGTGTCCATTAACAATTTTTTTAATTATATATATATATATGCAAATCCTCTGAAGATTAAGAGAATATGGGTTTTGCTTTGTAATGTACAATATCCTTAGAAAATATAATAACATAGATAATAACTAATATTTGAGCTGTAAGTATATAAAAACCCCTCTAACAGAAGTTTTCTGATAGGGATGAACATAAGAATTACCACTTGTAGACAGGGGGATAGTTTAAGAAATGCCAATAGTGAGCCATGTAAAGACCAAGGAAGTCACAATTTTTGATAGGGATTCAAACACTTTTAAATGATTAATATGTAATCAAAGTTGAAAACCCTCAACAAATATTCTGGGACAAATGTAAATGACTGTACATTAAAAGGACTATGTTTCATGGTTATAATAAACAGGTATCCAAATAAGAGTAAGATTTTTTTAATTGTTCATTGATTCTTAATAAAATTCCATGGTTTTTAATGAATGTTATTTAAGTAAATATACAGTGTTTATTTCAGAAAGCTTTTTATGTCATCCATACTCTAAATACTAGCTTTCTAGACATGTAGAAATAAACAGTCTATGCTTTTCCTACAGGTCGGCTGCTTCTAAAAAGATTTGCTCAGGTATTGAAATTTAAATTCAGAGTGAAAATGCAGTTTCCTCCACA